CTCCTAATTTGCTAAGTGCAGGACTCGGCAAGTGATAGTTCTTTTAGGTGTGAGGAAACTGTAATGAATCAAACTAACCACAAGGTACGGGGTATGATTCACTTCGAAAAAAGCCATATTTCGGAATTATCTTATTTCGGAGAATTCCATATTTCGGAGAATATCGAGATTTGTAAGCGAATAAACAATGCTTTAAATGCTTTTTCTAATCAAGCAAAACATTTATTTGTAAAACTCAATTATCCTTCTAAAAATCGGCCTTTTGTTGCTAAAACAGTTCTGGAGATAACGCTGTATTAACACATTAATTTTCCGATTTTTCAATTTTTCTCATTTCAGAAAGATGATTTGCTATACCAGTGGTGTAAAACTACAAGTTTTTCACTTAATCTATAGAAATGCTTTTAGTATTATACTTCACCAAATGCTTCTTTACGACCATCGGCCAAATGAACAATTTTAGCGCGAAGAATTCAATTTCAGTACATTCAATTCAATTCAATACGTTAAAACACTGAATCCAGAAATATGAAATTGTTCGTATTTCCGCATATAAAGATCCTTTGCAAATTCACAAAACGCTGAACCAAAATTTTGAAATCCTCCGAGTCTCTTAGATTCATTTTAAATTCATGAAACGCATCAAATAAAAACGAGTTCCCTCCCTCAACCCCCAACGGCTATTCTGAACATTTTGTTTAAACAATAGAGTGAAGCATTTATTTAAAAAAAAAAACCTGAGAAAAAGTTCATAGATTACGATAAAGCACACACATCCTATCTGCCGTAGAAAGGGTACTTTGTGCATGAAATTCTAGAGGAAATTAGTCCACATTCACATTAGACACGGGGAAAAGCACGATGGATCCAGCTTGTTCGCCAGGAATGTGCTAGCACTATTCGGCGATATTACGCACTCCATCCATGTAAGTGGTTTCAGTTCGAAAGAAATTTCAGTTACAGCGGTAATATAGTATTAAAATATTAAGGTCATTAGCAAGATTTTTAACTATTTTGAAAAATTTTAAATACTGCTTTTAATTAATAAATAAAAGATCTACCACACCGGCCTCAATATGAGACGATTTTTATCTCCTAACTTGCAACTGTACAAGAAAGACCTAAATAAATATCATATTACCTACAGCATCTAACCTAAAATAAGATCATCTTTCATAACGCGTTTGCAAAGTTTTAGAATTAATTTCATTACGAATAATCAAAATCTGAAGAAAACAACTTCATCACTATTTAACTTTCTACACACATTCTCCATATACTATATATCCCTTCTTACGTTCATAAAGCCTTTTCGGAAATTATTTGGTGGAATAATTTTTCCTCGATTTCTGATTCAATCTCTTTAAAAAGGCATTTCAAAATTGTTCCGTTTAGATTCATCTGCACTTTAGGGAACAAAAAGCAGTCTGAAGGTGCCAAATTAGGAACGTAAAGAATATATAATTAAGAAAGACTTTTTCTTTGCAATAAACTAAAGGGCAGTGCACTGCGCGATATAGCATTTACACATGCAAAGAACTAATGACAAATTATCATTGTTTCTTGTTAGGTATTGCAGTCCATAACTACAGCATATCAATGATATAATTCAAAAAGAAATCTAACCTTCCATAAGTAAAACATATAAAAAAAATGTTTCGTACTCATTCTTTTATTTTTGCGTTAAATTAAAAGTTATTTATTAATTTTTGTTCCAAGGTGTGGCATTAAGAGCACTCGATTATCTTTCTTGAAAAATACAGTCAACAACATATCAAGTAAGCAATTTTATGATAACCCTTTTTTTCCTTGCAATACATATTTTAAGCAAGATTGCGTTATACTGGAGTATATGCTATAACACAAATGTCTAAACAATTAATCACGTTTAATCAAGTTTAAAATTTAGCAAATTACTTTTGTAAACCTATACACTCGACTAAGGTTCTCAAAATGTATATTTCAAGCTTTTTGTTTAAAAAAAAATTGTTAATTTTATTAATCTCATGTCCCTCAAAAACCTTTCCAGTGTTGCGATTTTGCAGGGTTCACGGAAGTTTTAACAAACAGCACTCAGTGGTTTTGACGCTCAAGTAAAAGCGTGCTTCTGTTATATGTGAAGAGGTCCCGAGTCGAACCCAACTACAAACGTTTAAAAAAACGCATTCTAACTGCCATTTGGCGTTCGCCTTTAAAAATTAAAATAACATAAAAAAAAAAAAAAAAGAATATTAGAAAAAAAAAAATCAGGATAGAGCAATTCAAATAACTAATGTAATGTCATGCAAAACTGCTCATAGATAGTACACTGGTGTGCAAAAATTAAGGACGAAGTCGAAAAATTAGCATATCAGCTGAACGAAGAGGCAGAACGGATGGAAAGACCAATCAGGAGATTAAGTAAGGTGATGTACGGTAGCACATGCGCAGATATGCAGGTAGACTAATGGGGAGTGTCTGAGTAGTATAAAGCATGTTTTCGGTGTAAGATCAGTATTTCTGGCAAAGAGATTGCGCGCCGTATAGCAGTTAAAATCACACCGAGTTGCTGCCTCAGCGAGAAATGGCGAATAATCAATCTGTTACACGACATCTGGATGCTTTTACCCGAGGTCGAATCATTGGGAAGTTGGAGGAAGGCCGCAGTGTGACAAGTGTGGCTGCAGAGTTCGGAATTGCTCACAGCATCGTTTCACGACTTTGGAGACAATTTCAAACTACAGGAACAGCTATCCGGGGGTTTAGTAGTGGTCGTCCACGAGGAACCACACCCGCAGATGACCGGTATATTGCCTTACAGGCCAGAAGAAACAGGCGGCAGACAGCGGGAGAAATCGCTAGAACACGACACAGGCGACTGGACGACCGATATCGCGTTTTACCGTGGCCAGAAGACTGCACGGTGGTGGTCTGTTTGCACGACGCCCTGTACGGTGTGTACCTCTAACGCCTGCCCATCGGAGAAGGCGTTCTCTTGTGGTGCCGGGAACCCCGGAATTGGAGAGACAATGAATTGGGACGAGTACTCTTTACAGATGAGAGCAGATTCAGTCTGAGTAGCGATTATCAATCGCATACTTCATCTGGAGAGAGCGGGGAAGCCGCAATCATCCTCGAACATCATTGAAAGGGACAGGTATGGAGGTGGCGGTGTTCTCGTTTGGGGAGGCATCATGCTTGGTAGTCGTACAGACCTTCACATCTTCGACGCAGGTTCAGTCAACGGGGACCCGCTATTGTAACGAGATTCTTCTTCCATATGTGCGTCTTTTTAGAGGCGCTATGGGTCGCAGTTCCTTTTCATGGACGACAATGCACCATGTCATCGCACAGTAGCTGCGAACAGCTCTTAGAGAGTGAGGATATTGAACGTATGGATGGCTGGCACGATCGCCGGATCTCATCCCATCGAGCATGTATGGGATTTTGTAGGCAGACGCTTGGCCTCGTACCTTACCACCAGTAACGATTCCGGAGCTTCGATTGGCGCTGCAAGACGAATGGGCAGCAATGACACAACAACTCATTGACACCCTCATTCTCAGCATGGGCAGACGCTGTGAAACCTGCTAGCCGTCAGGGGAGATCATATCCCTATTAAAGACCGGATGTTTCTTCTTGCGGACACCCATCACAGGGATGTTTCGGCTTCAGTCGCATTGCGCTCATGCTACTTTTTCAAAGCTTCTTTTTATCCCTCTGATTTCTCTTTTAGTAAGTGTTGCTTACATTACTCATGTCCTTACGTATGGGGATCTTACCGTATTAAATGTGTTGATTTTGGAAAGCTTTTGTACAAAGTTATATTGAAAAAAACCGTCTCGTCCTTAATTTTTGCACACCAATGTATATGCATGTAGCCAAAATGACAACAATGCAAGAAGCACGGTTCAAGATCCTTAATGCTCTTTAACTGGCTTACTTCAGACTGCAATGAGTATGAAAGGATATTTGTTCTCTTCCAATCATTAATCTTGTGGCGTAATATTGTAAAATGTGAATAATAATTTATCTTTTAAATAGCATTTGCAAACTCAGACTGCTTCTCATCGCTTTCACCAGCATTCCCTTTTTTAAAATCTCTATTCTGAATTCCACTGTAACTATTTACTGGAAATCCTAAGAATACATTTCTTCAAACTTATTTCCTACAATGTCATAAAATTCCAAAGTGCATCATAGACATACAAACGTTCATTTAAAACAAAATACAGGAAAATAATGGAAAAGAGTAATGAAAGGCGATATCTGGAATAACGGATATAATTTAAATATATCAAAACGACAATTCCTTATCATTTTGATCATTAATACGACAAGCGAATTTTCCAGATTTGAAATCAAATGCATAAATAGTAAAATTTTGCATGAATGGGAAATTTTAAGTTTTCTCAACGAATTCAACAAATTTTATAAGGTCTTTAAGTTTATATCCGAGCAAAAATCGTAAAAAATGATCAATTTGCTCGCCAGAACTCATACTCCGGACCTTCCAATGTTAGCCGAACGTGCTTTCCAATTACATCATGAAGGCATGCGGTGCGGAAAGAGAAAATATCTTACAGCTTCCTAAGTCTAATTTATTCAGAGAAATGAAACAAAACCACATACATAGGTTTCATTTCTTTTATTTTGCAACAGGCATAAAACCAGTTAAATGCAGTGACAAGTTTGTACTAATAATAATAATAAAGCTTAAAATCGCAATCAACGTAATAATGCTTAAAATCGTATAAGTTAAGAAATTAACTATACTGGCATCTGATTCCTCGGCTTATAACTTAATATAATTCAACATAACGAAATTATAAATTTGCAAGCTACTCATTGTATTTTTATACATAAACCGAGAAAAATGCAAAGTTATTCGCAAAAAATTAATGCATTGCGGAAACCGTTTCATAAAACAAAAGTTGTGAGTTGTTGCTTTCATTACATCTGAAATATCCGTCCGAAGTTTGTAGACGAAATCAAAGCAAATATTCATTAAAAATGAAATCTTACTTGGCATCTTTTAGTGCTTCTTCGATTACCATTTCAGTACGTTGTCCGTCTTCTTGAAAGCTTTCAGGTATTGGTACTGCGAGAAGCAATCCGCTTTTTAAGTCCAGGCGATCGCGGTAATCTAAAATACAACAATTATTAGTTATAACATTAAAAAAATTGTATTTTACTCTTAAAACTGTCATCTAGATGTTCTTAACTTTAACTACCACAAACCTCTTCAGAAAACAATTTCTTACACACAAAATATTAAATAACGCATATATTGCAATATTGCGGGGACTGTTGTATGAATGTGTGATTTTTAAATGAAATTCAAGAAATTCTGTTCTATTCTGATGTTTATTTAAGCTATTTGTTACTAGATTGCTCTTATAAGTATATGCGACAACTAATTCCTCACCGACAGAAAATTTAAAAAAAAACTCTTTTATTTTAAATGAATACTCGTCATCGCCTCTTCTGCCCTAGAAGAAACCAAAAGAAAGCGTCACATTCATATATTGTTTGTTAGGTAGATATTAGTCACAAAAAATAATAGTAATAATTGAAAAAAGAAAGTTGCATAAGAAATATCTATTGTACCACTTACAAAATAATATAATTCTCAAAAAGATGTTGGGTCGCCATTATTTCTAATGCAGTCTGCCACACATCACGGCATGGATTGGATTGGATTGGATTATTCAATTATGGCAAGGCACACGAGGGCTATCTGCCTAAGGGGAGGGATGCCTTCGTGGAGGACTTTCTAAGGGAAACTGGCTCGTATACACGTTACACATGGGGAAAACCACGAAAACGCCCATGCAGCCAGCCCGTTCGCGGGATTCGAACCTCAAACCGAACAACCAGTGTTCAGCGTCTTTACCGCTCGGCCGCTGGTGGGCCCATCACGGCATGGAGTCGTTGAGGTCCGTAACATAATCTGGCGATAGTTCATTCCCAGAAGATTTGATTCTGGCTTGTTGTTTTTGCAGACTTTGTTTGAAGTCTTATTAAAAAATACGTAGCATCCCTGAATTTTGCTATTGGGGTAAGATTTAGCGATACAGCTGACCATGGTAAAGCCCATGATTGCAAGGTAAGCCTTTCAGATGCCAGCAGTATGAGAACGAGAATCATTTTAACAGAGCCCCGGAGCGGACCTTCACAAACGCTACAGCCATTGATTAAAGGACTTCATCAACGTTGAGAACGGACTGTGAAGAAAACCAACAGTGATCTAGTACCACATGAAATACCATGATACTCATCAGGACGCGTGACGCATGACAATAAACATTCATTTTGGCACTGAGTTAGTTGCCTCTGTATGTGAATATGTTGGTCATCCGCACCAAATAAAAGCGAGACTCATCGTTAAAGATTATCAGCTACCATTCAGCATGACTCCATGGTGCTTTTTCACAGTACTTCTGTAGCCTGTGAAGACACTGCTGTGGCGTAAGAAGCAATTGTCGTACGGTAGCCATGCCTGTAATCCAAAGGTACGCAGCCATCTGCTAATTAACGGCAATTGGCACTCACAGGATGTTGCAGAGAGCGGATTACTGCTAGCTGATAGTCCGAGACCGTGGCAAATAGGGCGGTTCGAGCATGTTTGAATAATACTTCGGTTTTTTTCCTCTCTGTTGCCCAAGAAGATCTTCCACACCCATACGCCATGATTGCGTACCTTCCTGAATCTGATGCCGGCAACAGTCAGCGACTATAACATTCACGAGGCCCGATATGGTTGGCAATACAACGAAATGGCCATTCACCTTCTAACAACGCAATCTTTCTGGAATGAGTCCAGTTGTTCAAATTGCTGTCGAATTTAGCTCAATTATTATTTTATAAAATTAACACTTTAAACCATCTCAATGAATAATAGTAAATTTGTGATACAGTCAACAGAATAATACCAGTCAAAAAACATTTACGACCTTCTATAGTAAGTAAGACAATAAGCTTCGTCCTCGCTGATGTCATTTGGACAGACGGGGGGGGGGAACTTTAGTTAAACATGTATAGAAATTAATGCTTGATTTTATTAATGTTGATTGCTTCTTTGTGGAAGGAACTTTTTTTTTCGGGTTGGGGGTCTAGGACTTTTCGCCGTCGCCCTTTCACCGTGGCCGTTTCGCTATTGGACCGTTTCGCCGTCAAGACATATTTTTCTTTACATGACTGCATTATATCTCGCCGCATTATGCTCGTATTAAATTTATTTAGTTTAATAATTGTGTTTACCTTTTGTATAATGTAATAAAGGCCGCTTAATATATACATACGCATATTACATATAATATATACGCTTATAATTACAAATATGAGATATAAAGAAATTCACCCAGTTGTTTACAAATATGAGATATAAAGAAATTACATATACAGTGGTACCTCGCGATACGATCTTAATCCGTTCCTGGACCAGGATCGTATCGTAAAAAAATCGTATAATGACAATGTATTTCTAATTAATTAATTGTGCAACGCCCCATAATAACACCAAATCGTCTATAGTAGAATAATTAGTCAAAAAGTATTTAAGTACACATACACATACATTATACCACATTTATAAATTAAACTAACCTTAAATAATAAAAAAAGAAAAAGAAAAATTAATTTCACTTACCGAAGTACTTACAGTCGCGAGGGATGTTTTTATTACGACACTGATAAATTGCGCACAGCGTTATAAACTTAGACACAGTAAAAACTTAAAACTAATAAGTTCTTTTAAAATTAATTTCTTATGTAAAATTACAGACACAGTATGAAAACTAAATCATTTTTTTTTTATAATTTTTATTTATTTTTTTTTTTTTTTTTTTTTTTTTAACTAACTGAACTAAATTTGAGGTGAGACATCTCTTTACTCATCGTTTCACTTTCCTTCTAGTTTCTATAGAAACAATCGTTTCTTCACTTTCTGGGGCACTCCCTTCGAAAAATATTATCTATCTAACCTGTTTGACGCTCCTCAAATGTTTCAAATGACTCATCAAATGTCTTCACATTGTCCATTGCAGGAGCTGTACGATTTTTTCTGGGTGTTTTTTTGCAAAAAAACTGTTAGTTCAACCAACCATGGCTTCCGTATTTCCGTAGATGTCAGTGCCCTCCCCTCCTCCTCAACACTCGAATATGTTCCTCTTGAGATCGCTGATTTGCATCGCTCCAATGCCTTCAGTCGTCGTGTGAGCTCCCCTTGTGCTGTCGATAGTTGTCATGTAGCCTCATCGAACAAGGCCCAATACTTGCATAGAAATATCTCCTCCATGGAGCAGGATCACCACACCCTTCTTCAGTAGGGATTTCGAAACTTCAAAGTCGCGTTCTGCAAACATGCCAGTGCCTCCATGCTATCCAGTTGGCCTTGAGACCTACCCAAGCCTTTCTATGATTTCAAGCAAGGCAAACGTAGTGACTATTCCAAACGTCACGGAGTGTGAGTTGCTGCTCTCTGTCACTTCGAAGCATCGTTTTGGTTTTCGTGTAAAGCTTCTTAAAATTGCAATGACTTTGGTCCATAGGCTGGAGATGGAGTGGTGTTCGTGGCAATAAGCACTTTGAATGAGTCGAAGTCGGGATGTATCTGTTCTTCAAGGCAGGTGAGCACAAGGAGGCATTTTAGAGGAAGACCATTTTTCTCTAAATATTTTTTTCACTGCAGGTCCGAAGCAGCAATTAACCCACTCACAAATAAAAGCCTCGTGACCCAGGCTTGGCGTAGGACCCCAAAGACGGCGGCTTATCCTTCGACACATGTGCCTTGAAGGCACGAGGATTTTCTGAGTGGTATACCAGTAGGGGTTTTGTTTTAAATCCCCACTGGCATTCGCACATAGGAAGAGGTAAGCCTATCCTTCATGGGTTTGTGTCCAGGAAGTTTCTTTTCTTCTTCTGTGATGTATGTACGACGGGGCATTTTCTTCCAGAAAAGACCCGTTTCATCACAGTTGAAGACTTGTTGAGGGATGTAGCCTTCATCGAGGATTAACTTTTTGAAGGCCTCGATAAATTCTTGCGCTGCTTTTTCATCGGCGCTGGCAGCTTCCCCATGCCTGACCACGTTATGTATCCCCGTTCTTGAATCGTTCATGAGAAACCCATGAGATGCTTTGAACGTTGGGGCCTCTTGTGTTGATGTCCATTCGCCTCCTTCATCTCTCTGGGCTTTTGCGAGGTCTTCAAAGATCGCAGTGGCTTTATGGCATATAGCAGCTTGTGTTACCGTATCACCAGCAATTTCCTTCTCTTTTATCCAAATAAGAAGAAGAGTCTCCATCTCGTCATTAAGGGAAGTTCTATTGTATGAGAAGGTGGTAACGCCCTTTCCAGACTTGCTGGCTTAAATGGCTTCTTTATTCTTTATAATGGTACTAATCGTCGATTGGTTTCGTCCATATGCATTAGCAATAGCCATGATACGCATGCCACTTTCGTATTTTTTTTATAATTTCCAACTTCACTTCCATGGTTATCGATGACTTTCTTTTCCCCTTATCACCACCAGCACTAGAAGCACATTGAGGACCCATGGCGAATAAAGTTTATCACAAAATAATATTACGATCACACAATTCACAAGAATATCGTATGAACTGTACGAACGCCACGCGGTCTCGAGAAGGAGAGAACGATATCACATCGACGCTTTGCGTGGACACGGTATCCTACGATGCCGTGATGCCGACCAATAGGAGAACAGGATTTATAGAGAAAGGAAGATGACGCCACGTCGACAATACCAGAACAGTTGAATAGTGACGTATTGATGCTGAGGCTTGCTTAGTGACGCGTGAGGTTTGCCCGTAGCGTGCCAACTTCAAAACAATTTCAAGCGGCAAGAGTATTGGGATTGCATCGCGAAAAACGTATCGTTTCGCGAGCACGAATATTTGCGATATTCCACTTCGTATCTTGAACACATCGTATCGTGAACCCATCGTATCGCCAGGTACTACTGTAGTTAATTAGAAAATTCTATCAGTATCAAAAAGAACTGGGACTAAACCTCTGATATAACAGAAGTTATATTATTGATTTAAAAAATATGCAGGTACAATTTTTAAACGATTCGTCAAAATTTCTTGAAATTTTAATCGGCTAGTTCAGAAAAATCAT